TCTCTAATTCTAAATATAAGACTCATTTTATAGTGTAATTTACATTACAAAATATGTTTTGTAATAACTAACACTTCTATGTTTAAAATTTTATAATTAAAATATGAAAAAGATATGGGGTAATCTAAAAATTAAACAAGATCTTAGATAGACTTGACTTGCGAAAATTGTGAAAAGGACTACATAAGAATGACAACCTGACAAGCCGACAAGTAATTAATCTAGAGCAAGACCATGACTTTTTGACACAATCCTGCAAACAAGACTCAATTTTTCCAACCTAGAGAATAATTATGTGTTGACTAACAAGAAAAGAAGATAGGGATTGGAAAGTTGGAAGTGGAAGAACTTGATCAAATAGCCCTATTTGCACGGTCCACAAAATTGACTAAATATTCTACTATGATTACTTACGATAAGCATAATTAATGAAAATGTTTCATTGTGATTACATGAAACTATGAAGATGACCATTAACAGGGTTTTTATATAGAGAGGTGGAATGTAACGATGAAATCAATCCCTCCGCAAGAAAGAGAATCAATTTCATTATTTTTAAGTTTCTGGCATTGAAGAAGATAATTTCAGAGCACGACCATGACTTTTTGACACAATCCTGCAAACAAGACTCAATTTTTCCAACCCAAAGAATAATTATGTGTTGAATGACAAGAAAAGAAGATAGGGATGCGTCATGCCGTGAAACGGGGATTGGAAAGTTGGAAGTAGAAGAACTTGATCAAATAGCCCTATTTGCACGGTCCACAAAATTGACTAAATATTCTACTATGATTACTTACGATAAGCATAATTAATGAAAATGTTTCATTGTGATTACATGAAACTATGAAGATGTCCATTAACAGGGTTTTAATATAGAGGAGTGGAATGTAACGATGAAATCAATCATTCTGCAAGAAAGAGAATCAATTTTATTATTTTTGAGTTTCTGGCACTGAAGAAGAAAATTTCAGAAGGGAGAGAAATAATTTTCTAAACCTAATAGTATCTCCAATAGCTAGCTCGGGAGTCAAGTTCATACCATCTCAAATTTTTCAAGCTAATTTAACTTTTAATTTGATCATAAATATAAAAACTCAATCCACTTTGTCTTTTATATTTATCTATTTTTTTAATATAGTTCTTATAATAGTTGCATATATTAAAGATTTCATTAAATGAAAGTTTTAGCTAATACACTTAATTAGTAAGTGTATTTTAGGAATTATAATATCTATTTATTATAAACAACTAAGTTAACTAATTTTTTTAATTTACTCAAATTAGTCCACTAACTCTTATATTAAAGAAAGGATAGTACATAATTACAATTTATCTATACCTTTTGATTTAACTAATATAACATAAACAATATTTTTTTGGGTGCTAACATAAACAATATTTTTATAAATATAAAAAAGTTATGATAAAAAAAAAAAGCCCTCACTAAATAAAGACAGGGAATCTATCATTACTTATTGAGTTCCTAATATTGATTTTGTTATGTAATTAAACAAACTTGTAATTTTTAATTCTTGAAAATATATATGATTTTAGTAAGTATAGTTATAGGTGTAATAACCAAACTTTCCATCTTTAAAATTTTATAATAAGGACATGAAAAAGACACAACTGATAGCATAAAATTAAACAATGTCTAGGTAGATTTTTTGAAATAAACAGTTCACCGATTTGGTCCCGGTAATTTTTTTTGTGTCCTTATATACTTGACCAATAATTTAATTAAATTATTTTCATTATCAATAAATCTTAATTCATCCCCAACCTTCATCAATCACCACTAATAATAATACATGAAAGAGTCCCGATTCAAAACCATTAAAATCATTTTGCAAGTGGTAGAATTAAACGTTAAATTTAGTCAAATCAAAGTTACCAACAAATTAATCACTCCGACCTTATACGTTCATTTTTCTTTGGAGGCAGGGTTAAATATGTTATTAAGTGATAGCATTTTTTTTATATGTATGTTGATATAACAATGGCAAAAAAAGAGAGGAAGATATAACAAATACATTAAAATTTAGTATATACAATATCATGTCTTTCTTTACTGAATAACAACAAGTTATTTAAGTTGTCAATTTCATTAAACTTATAATAAAATTTTTATAATATGTTATTTAAAAATATAATATAAACAATAGTTTTATAAATATAGAAAATTTATGATCAAAATTGCCCTCATCATTAACTAAAGACCAGAATCTACCATTACTTGTTGAATTTCTATGTGTTCTACTTGTCAAGTTCCTAAGTGTTCTGCGTGTAATTAAACTCTCATTGGGTTTTTTGTGTAATTAAATATATTTACGATGTTTTTCTTGACTGATTAAGTTCTTTTTTTTTTTTTGAAATAAAGTTTAAGAAATGAAAGTTTTTCTAAGTACAAGAACCATTGGATTTATTAAAAGCTATTATTTTTCTATAATTTTACGATTGAAAATTCCTGCATTATATTAGCTCTTAAGTTATACTACCTCCGGTCCTAATTATAAGAGCCAGTTGACTAATTTGAGGATATTAAGGAAGTAAGTTGAGTTAGTTATTTGTCATAAATAGGTGTTGTCGTTCCTAAAATATCCTTGCTAATTAAGTATATTGACTAGAATTATTATTGTTAGAAGGGCTACTTTAGAAAAGAATATATAAATATGAGAGACAAAGTGAATTGGGGTCTTATATTTAGGATCAAAATAAAAGTCAAACAAGATTTTATATTAAGGACCGGAGATAGTATTATCTATTATTTTATAAGTGGAATAATTAAAAATGAAATCTTAGTCAACTCAAGGTTACCAGCAAATTAGATTAAAAAAAAAAATCCATAAGCGTTGCTATTATTTGATATATAATTATATTAGATAAGTCGCAAGAAAATAATGATACAGCATAAATATGACTGTGCAATAATTAGATGCGCCTAGCAAATGGGACTACCACGTTAGATGGGCTTGGCGGAGGGGGCTGCATAAATATTAAATATACATATTGCATACACTCCTCTTATAAGTCTGAATGTCATTTTGTATTCAATTTCATTTTGCTGATAATAAAGTTTTTAAAATATTTTATTTAAATTATATAACATAGAAATATTTTTAAGAATATAGAAAATTTATAATAAAAATTTTTCTCACTAATTAGAGACCTGAAATCTACACCTACTTCTTAGGTTCCTCAATGTTCTATGCTTAGTTAAATTCTTATTGATTTTTTTATGCAATTAAACAAACAAAAATTTTTTATGGTTGAAAAATATATGAATTTTATAATTAATTACTATTATATAACAATAGGGATAATAACTAACATTCCTATTTTAATATAATAAAGAAAAGCAAAAAACATTTATAGATAGTTTAAAAATTAGTGAATAGCCGAGTAACCTTGACCCAAAAAAATCACAAGAGAAGACTTCATAACAATGACAATCCAACAATCTCTGAGCACGGCATGTGTTTACGCCCCCTACAACCCTTCAGATGATTGCCGCATAATCAATTTAGGGTAAGAACATGACTTTTTGAAACAATCCTCCAAATAAGGCTTAATTATCCCAACGCAAAGAATACCTATGTAAGTGACAAATAAAAAAAATGTAAGTGACAAAAAAAAGATTAAGATGAATATTTATTTTAAAAGTTTTTATTTAGGAGCGTTAGGAAACCCAATTTTTTTGGATGTAAATTTATATAAAAATTTAAAATCATAATAATATTATTTTTTATTATTTAAAAATTAATATTAAACTGTTAAAATAATAATATTAACTGTTAATATATTTAACAGTAGAAGAGAAAATTATTACAGTTTAAAATTTTTGAGTAAATTTGCACAAATTTTTTTTTTCTAACTTCCTGATATTTCTGAAAAGGAAATGGAAGACACGTCACGTCACTTTCTTACACTTAACACGCGCAAGAGCAAAAGGAGGAAGAATTAAGTAGTTGAGTCCTGCCCCACCTACTATGGCACGTGAATCAAGGAGGTTTTGAGTATATTTCTGAGGATTTCAGGATTTCAGCAAATGCCTGTTCTATCTTTGCTTATTTAGATACAATAGTAATAGTAATTTACTGGTTAATATGCATCATTGTGGGGATATCTTTGACGATTGAATGCATTAGAAATTTTTTAAAATTTTTTTGTAAGCATATATAATCTTTATTTTATTTTCAAAATAATTTTAATGCCAATAGTCTGAATTTAATTTATATGATTTAAATGAAAATATAGCATTAACTCATTCTAATAATAAGAATGCCATGCTTGTATGTTTAAGAGAGTATGCGTAACACAAAAACTCTAATAAGAATATTATTCCTAATCAATCACCAAGTTACTTATTAAAAAAATCATGTTATAATTAATTGTATTTTGTTTAGAGAGTGGACAACGAAAGAGTGTCCTGAACTATTGGATGATTAAAATAATATATCTACAAATTAATTTTCTAGAACTATTGTTATTATTATTATTATAAGAATAAGGACATTATATAATCCACGAAGATTAGAAATGATTATCATGTGAGGGTTTTTTTTTTCTTTCCAACTAAAATAATGTGATAATCAAGTGAGACCGCTAATACCAAAAAACATTGAAAATAACAATGTACTTGAATATGTGCGACAATTTTATGGGCACTCTCTCGTTTGATACCAAAAAAATAAAATTTAATATAAATTAAAAATGATTATCATGTGAGGGTTTTTTTTTCTCTTTCCAACTAAAATAATGTGATAATCAAGTGAGACCGCTAATACCAAAAAACATTGAAAATAACAATATACTTGAATATGTGCGACAATTTTATGGACACTCTCTCGTTTGATACAATTTTATGGGAATTCAAGTGGGGGAAAAAAGAGTAGTTGGAATAGTTTGGATATTATTTGTCTATAAAAGGCCAGAGGATTACTCATTCTGATACACGTTACCGACACTTCACATTATCGTTCAAAAGAATTGCAAGCATGGTGATCAATGTGCTAAGCCATACTTTCAATCTCTTTTTCTTGATTGCAACCTTGTGCATCTCTATGTGTGCAGGAATTCCCAACATGAAGAGTTGTGCTAAAACAGATAAGCAGGCTCTTCTGAAGTTGAAAGCTGGTTTCATTGATGATTATGGAATTCTTTCCTCATGGAAACATGAAGTTGATTGTTGTGAGTGGAATGGGGTTTCTTGCAATCCTTTGACAGGTCATGTCACTGAGCTGCACGTCCCATCTAATTATTCCAGATGTTTAAGAGGTAAAATTGATTCTTCACTATGTGATTTGCAACATCTAACTCACTTGAATCTCAGCTTTAATGATTTTGGAGGAAATCAAATCCGAAAATGCATTGGTTCTCTTAACCAACTGAGAGAGTTGATATTTAGAGATGCCAATCTCAGTGGTATTATCCCACATGAATTGCGCAATCTGTCTAATCTTCAAATTCTAGACTTTGGGAAAAATTATGGTTTGATTTCAACTGACCTTGAGTGGATTTCTAATGTTTCTTCTTTGAGGCATCTTGATTTGTCACAAGCTAATCTAAGTAAAACTATCGGTTGGGAGTCATCTTTATCAAGAAAAGCTCCTCAATTAAGAGAGTTGATACTTTCAGGTGCAGATCTTGTTGGCACTATTGGTCATCAACTAGGAAATCTATCTAATTTGGAAACTCTTGATCTTAGTGGAAATGATTTGATCATGAATGATCTTAAGTGGATTTCCCAACTTCCCTTTTTGAGGCATCTTGATTTGTCTTGCATAAATCTAAGTCAAGCTATTGATTGGCAATCATCATTGTCAAAAGTTTCCTCTCTATTTGAGCTTGACTTAACTGCATGTGCTCTACCTCAGGTCAATCCTAAATCTTTGGTCCACAATAATTTTTCCACTCCTCTCACAAGCCTTAGCCTTAGCGCTAATTACCTTGACGCTTCAATCTTGTATTGGGTGACTAATATTAGCAAAACCTTGGTAGAAATTGATCTCTCTTCGAATTCTTTCCAATATATTCCTGCTGGCTCATTTTCAAATATGAAATCTCTTAAAATTCTATATCTCTCGTCAACATCCTTGCAACATGTTGCTTCAAGCGCCTTTACAAATACCACTTCTCTTGAACACTTAGATCTTTCCAAAAATAATCTTACCAATGATATAGGGGAAGCCATCTCTCATTTATGTCCATTGCGTGACTTGCTGTTATCCTTCAACAATTTATCTGGTCCATTAAGAGATTGGGTGCCACAGTTGCATTGTGCCCAGCATAGTATAGAGGAATTGGACCTAAGTGACAACTCATTTAGTAGTGGGCCATTTCCTGATGTTTCGAAATTCTTATCCTTGGTCTCACTAAATCTTCGACATACTTGTCTTAATGGGCCAATTCCACAATCACTTGGGCACTTACATCATCTTTCAGATTTGGATATAAGTCATAACAATTTGAGTGGGCCATTCCCAAAGCTTCATGAACTTTCATCATTGTCAGCCTTATATATATGTCTGACAATAAGTTCAATGGTGTGGTCAATGAAGTACATCTATCGACTTTATCCAACTTGCAAAGTTTGGATGTCTCTAACAATTCCCTTTATTTCAACTTTAGTTTCAAATGGGTTCCACCTTTTCAATTGGATGAATTTTATGCGAGGTCATGCAATTTCAGCGTTGGCTTTCCAATGTGGCTCAAGCATCAAAGGGAGCTTTGGGCATTGGACATTTCTAATGGCTCAATTTCAGATTCAATTCCTGAATGGATATGGCTATTCCCGTATTTGTTATTTTTGGATATTTCGCATAACCAAATCTATGGAGAATTGCCAAAGTCGTTACCAAAATCTGGAATTGTCTGGGATTTTAGCTTCAACAATTTGTCAGGTGCCATACCGCAATTTTCACAAGAAGTAACATCCTTGTTGCTCTCAAATAATATGTTCTCAGGCTCCATATCTTCTTTATGTGCAACATTGCAATCTCAGTTAAAGGATCTTGACATGTCAAGTAATTTGCTATCAGGAAAACTTCCTCACTGTTGGAGTCAATTTCCTTTCTTGGAAGCTTTGATATTGGCAAACAATAATTTCTCAGGGTCAATACCATCTTCGATTGGTGCTTTGGAGAATATTGAAACTATCCATTTAAATAACAATAGCTTCTCTGGAAAGATACCATCTTTAAGATTTCCAGTTTTGGAGTTCATTGATTTTGGCCAGAATAATTTGTACGGAGAGTTGCCGACATGGATTGGTCTTTACTTGCCAAATTTGATTGTTTTGCGTCTCCAATCAAACCAGTTTCAAGGGAATATACCTACAAGTTTATGCGAGTTATCACTTCTTCAAATTTTAGATCTCTCGCAAAATAATATTACTGGGACAATACCCTATTGCCTCAATAACTTGAGTGCTTTGTCAAATTTAACATTTCCAAGGTATACCATTTCTTATAATGTGTACGTTCCGCTTTATGAACCATCATTTTTCATTGAATATGCAATGTTGAATTGGAAAGGGGAAGTTGTGAAATATGATAAGAATCTGGGGCTAATGACAGCCATTGATCTCTCTGGTAATCATCTGATAGGAGAAATTCCTAGTAGCCTAACATCACTTGTGGCATTGGCATCCTTGAATTTATCGAGAAATAACCTGACAGGATTCATTCCTAAAAGCATGGGTCAAATGAAAATGTTGGAATCACTTGATTTGTCAAGTAACTTTCTTTCTGGTGGAATTCCAATGAGCTTCTCGGCTTTGAATTTTTTGAGTTTCTTGAACTTGTCTTTCAACTACTTATCTGGAGAAATTCCACAAACCACTCAGCTTCAGACATTTGATGCTTCCAGTTACATAGGAAATCATGGACTTTGTGGCCAGCCACTCACAAAAGGATGCTCAAGAAATAGTGACACTGATCCAAATCGCAAGGCAAGTCTTAGTAATGATGCAAATGAAAAAGATGAACTCGCAACTTTTGGATACTACATCACCATGATTTTAGGATTTCTTGTTGGATTTTGGGGAGTTTGTGGAACTTTAATCCTTAAAAGTTCATGGAGAGCGGCTTATTTTCAATTCTTCACCAACATGTATGACTGGATTTATGTTCGTTTGGTAATTTTTAAGGCCAGAATTAAAAGGAGATTCCAAGACTAACAGGTATGTATAAATCTTCATTAGATTATCATTTGATATACTATATGTCACGTAACAAATTAAATGATCCAATGGGCTCATCCATTTTTAAATGGATATAAATTAAATAATTTGTGGTGATTTTTCCCCCAAAATATGCAGGTAGTTGGATGAAATGGTTGAAATCCCATTCCTCAGTGAAGACTTAGTCATGGATTCTGGGAATTGCAAGTTTGCAAAAGCTAACGCTTCTTAGTAGTTTTTTTTCCCTTACTAAATCTATTTAAATTTTGGATGATTGTACTGGATAAATATAATGTGGCTTCAATTTTTTTTTCTATTTAGCTATTAGCTGGTCCTTGTGAACTTACATTGTTGAATATTTGAATGTTATGATATTAGTTGTGAATGTTGTTGAATTATGAATTTGTTCTGCCATTTAAAATAAAAGTATAGGAAACATATATATTATGACATAAGGGGCAGCGTTCTCTTCACTTGTCGCAGACCAAGGAAAGCAACAACGGCAGGCTTCATGTATCTTCTCATATATAAGTGTTCCTGCGCTTATAACTATTTTATTTCTTCAAAAAATTATTTCTCTTAATTTTCAAATATTTGTCATACCAGAGCTTTAGCTTTTTCATATATCTTCAAATTAATTGGTTATTGTTTTACCCGGCAAAAATGCTTATTTTGGGCCTTAGTTTGGTGCACCAAATTTGTGAACTTCAACCTATTTTAAATTTTTTTTATAAATATTGTTTTGTTTTATGTTGAGTTATTTATATCTACTTTTATTCGTTGATTAATTTTCTCATCATTCCTTTTGTAAAAACTTTTGAAACGGGTTAAAAATTAATGATTAAAGAAGTAAAGTTTGTCGTTGACTCTAATCCATGAAATTTACTTCATTATGCATGTTATATTAATTTAAATTTGGATATTTTTTTCTTAAATTTGTTATTATGACCAGGTAATTATTCTTGATCAAGTGAAAAAAGAAAGCCTACCAGCTGCTGAAAATGAGAAGATGAATAAAGTTCTTGAAGGAAGCATATAGAGAAGTGCAATGACAAAATATTTGTAAGTCACCTGCTTGAAAATGAAAAATTCTCACTTAAAATTTCAAAGATTTTCAAAATTTGTGAAGGTTGAAAATGACAAGACATTGATATCATCATGTGAATTGATTTGAGTCTTGCAGATTGCTGAGTATGAAGAAGAACTTTCAAAACTTGGAGACACGAAGCAGAACGTACTACAATTTTTTATTTATTAATTTTAGTCTGAGTTAGCTTTGTAATGGAGACAACTATATGTAAAATTTAAGGGGGAAAGAGGTTCCTTCACCAGTGCAAGTTATAAAAGGTATCATAATATCTTGTATTTTTAGTGATTTCCCAACATAATAAAAAATCCCTTACTTTGTGTTTGGACACATTTTGTCCAAACCACAATAAATTAATTGTGTGTTAATTTAATTTTTTGTATCATTGTTTCCAGTCAAGCAAGAATGACGGAAAAGATCCATTATATATAAGAAAACATAATTAAGATCACTTTTTTTTTAACATTTCTTTTCATATCATTATCATTGTTATTGTTTTTTTTATAACAATTATTATTATTATTATTATTATTATTTAGATCACTCCTTATGTTTTCTTTTCCAACAAAAATGACTAAACACAGCCCATTCCCTCATTCCATCAGGGTGAGGTGGGGGTTCAACAACTCCTTATTATTATTATTATTATTATTTGGATCACTCCTTATGTTTTCTTTTCCAACAAAAATGACTACACACAGCCCATTCCCTCTTTCCATTAAGGTGAGGTGGGGGTTCAACAACTCCGTCCTCGTTAATAATGTCTGGCCCAGTTGCTCAATTGGCACAAAAAGGGGAAAAAAACACAACATAATAAGAATTGTTTTTTTATTTATTTTCTTATCTCTTATATTTTTATGGGGGATACTTGTGTCAATTGATAATTGATTTGTACCCTTTTCATCTTTTAACCTCCGATTTATAATACGAATAAATTGTTATATATCTTTTCATCGAGAAAAAAATTTAGGGAGAAGACTTTGTATGATTTTTGGTCCCACAACATTATGAAGATGCTAATCGGTAAGTTATTCTTAAGAATTGAGGCTTCGTGGGAAACTAGGAGGAAAAAAAAGCACAAAGAAAGTTATTCTTTTTTTTTTTGAATAAATAACAATGATAACAGTAAAAAGATACGACGCAATAAATCCCTATTTTAAAGAACAGGGGTGTTAGAGTTAAAAATAATAATAAGGTTTTTATCTCAAGTATATAGTTCAAAACTAGAATAAAACTGATAAGAGCACTGATATCTTCTGCAATGACATTTGAGAGCATAACTAATTGAAACTTGTAATGATAAGGAACCTTCTTGAAGCCAATTGCTTTTACCAATTCTCGTGGCAAATTCCTTGAGGAACTGTAAATCATAATCCAAGAGCAGATTCTTTGAAGGCACATGAGGAAAAAATTTGGCGATGTGGTACATACCCTGATTCCTTACCCATACAAAATGGTGAATCAAATCCCCGCAATACCTAATATTGATATTGATGAGAAAAGAAGTTTCCTTTCTTTTAATCTTTTTGATCCAAGTAGTCCATCATTGCAAAAATTCATTTGATTGGAAAGCTGACATTTAGCAAATCCAAAGGGTAGTGACAAGGAATTGAATTTCGCCATTTGCAAGCTGAGCTCAAGTAATGGAAAATGCCCTTGAATTCCATTATCATCATAGAATGAGGATTAAATGAACCTTTGAGTGTACTGCTTGATTCCTCTTCCTACCAATTAAATTTAGGAAAATGACGATTTGTGCCATAATTTGGGTGTTCGTGCTCTCAAGAAGATATGATATCATGTTTCTAACCTATACTATTGCACCCTACAGATAGATTAGGTCAATTCGGATACCAAAAGTCCCAAACCAAGCAGCTCTCACTACAAAAAACAACTAATTAGTGACAAAATTTATAACGGAAACAAATTCCGTCGCTAATTTCCGACGGAATTGCGACGAAAATTCCGTCGCTAATTTTTTTGACGGATTAGTGATGGAATTTTTCCGTCGCTAATAGAGAAAGGACAAACGAAAAATAAATGATCTATAGTTTCTTCATCATGACATGCAAATAAGCATAAAGAGGACACATTAAGATAATGAGCTATGAGAATCTTTTCAATTGGAAAAAAGCTTTCAAGAATTTTCATAAAAATTGTAAATATAATGAGTTACATAGATACATAGATTAAAAGGTATTTATAATTTATAATTTTTATTAATTAAAAATACTTTTTGATTATTTTGAAAGTGTTTTTTGAGAAAGTGTTTTTTTCTTACACTTAACACACGCAAGAGAAAAAGAATTAAGTAGTTGTGTCCTGCCCCACCATGGCACGTGAAGCAAGGAGTTTTTGAGTATATTTCTGAGGATTTGAGGATTTCAGCAAATGCCCGTTCTATCTTGCTTATTTAGATACAATAGTAATAGTAATTTACAAGTTAGTATGCATCATCGTGGGGATATCTTTGACGATTGAATACATTAGAATTTTTTTAAAAAAATTTTGTAAGCATGTATAATCTTTCTTTTATTTTCAAAATAATTTTAATGCCAATAGTTTGAATTTAATTTATATGTTTTAAATGAAAATATGGCATTAATTCATTCTAATAATAAGAATGCTATGCTTGTGTGTTTAAGAGAGTATGCGTAACACAAAAACTCTAACAAGAATGTTATTCCTAATCAATCACCAAGTTACTTATTTTAAAAAAAATCATGTTATAATTAATTGTATTTTGTTTAGAGAGTGTACAACGAAAGGGTGTCCTGAACTATTGGATGATTAAAACAAGATATCTACAAATTAATTTTTTAGAACTATTATGATTATTATTATTATTAAGAATAAGGAAATTATATAATCCACAAAGAAGATTAGAAATGATTATAATGTGAGAGTATTTTTTTTCCAACTAAAATTATGTGATAATCAATTGAGACCGTAAATACAAAAAAAAACATTGAAAATAACAATGTACTTGAATATGTGTGACAATTTTATGGACACTCTCTCGTTTGATACAAAAAAAATAAAATTTAATATAAAAATATCAAATAAAATTATTTTATGGGCATCCCATGAACATTGATTTTCAATAGCATCCGAAATTATGTTGCACCATATGTTTGGTTGACTTTAGAATCATAAAGTCTACCGTGAATCCTTTAGTTATGATAACCGAAATTATGAAATTAAAACTGGTCATAATCAAATGTAACTAATTATAGTTATGAATTCAAGTGGGGAAAAAGAAGAGTAGTTGGAATAGTTTGGATATTATTTGTCTATAAAAGGCCAAAGAATCACTTAATCAGATACACATTACCTATACTTCACTTTATCATTCAAAAGAATTGCAAACATGGCGATCAACATGTTTAGCCATACTTCCAATCTCTTTTTCTTGATTGCAACCTTGTGCGTCTCTATGTGTGCAAGAATCCCAACATGAAGAGTTGTGTTGAAACAGATGAGAAAACTCTTCTAAAGTTGAAAGCTGGTTTCATTGATCATTATGGAATTCTTTCCTCATGGAAACACGAAGTTGATTGTTGTGAGTGGAATGGAATTTCCTGCAATTATTTGACAGGTCATTTCACCAAATTGCATGTCCTATCTAATGATCTAATATATTTAGAAGGTAAAATCGATTCTTCATTGGGCCTGTTTGAGAAGGCTTAAGAAATCTCTTATAAGTACATTTCATGTAAGACAAGACAGAACTCCTCTCATATGCCTGTCTTGTATTCCTTAAATCACTATTAAAAAGCTATGTATAAGTTACTTATAAACTGTTTCAAACGGGTCCATTATGTACAAGATGTATACTTTTATAAGCTACTTATAAACTGTTTCAAATGGGCTCATTATGTGCAAGATGTAGGCTTAAGTTCCTATCAAGTAAAGCCCATCGAAGTTCGAGTAGTTTGGACCTGGTGTGTGTACGTATCTCAACTCAAAAGGCACTTTTGTCCCGAGGCACAAGGAAGTTTCAGTTTCAGCCCATGGATACTTGTAAACTGTTGGGCAAGATTTAAATGGTGCTGCCGTCCTTAATATAGACTAATAATTTGAAAAGATTAATAAAATTACTAAATCATCTAATTATAAGTTAGATACTTTTTTTCAAAATACTTCTTTTATATATCAATTTATGAGTGATGCAAATTAATTTTTTAAAAACTAATAAATATAAATAGTTTAAAATAATTTAGTAATTTTATTTTTTTTAAATTACTTAACTTGGTCTTATATTAAAAACTATAAGTAGTAATGCCTTTGATCCAACAAATATTGACCCATAACATATCTAATGTGCAGCAAATTGAGAAACTAAGATCACCAACACAGTAAACCATCACAAAATCAGGTTTCAATTTAATTCTATATCGGCGTATTGAGACCAAACGCGCATGCTTCGTACTCATTTTTATGCCGTAAAATAGTGAAAACAAATTACGGTCAAAGAAGCTGATGAACATATCATTGACCCTTCAAATTCAACCTGCCAGTTTCTGAGAATTTCTAGTGTCGATATAGCTTTGTTGTTGCAGCATGATTGTGCACGGTCAGAGTATGCACGTGCGCACCTATATATATTTTCTGCCACGTCCCTTGTTCTATCTGGTTTTTATTTTTATTTTGGGTTAAGATGCAATTTTAACAATAAAGTTTACCCAAAAGAGCACTGGGCACTATAAAGTTTATTTGGGTGCAAAAATATACATGAAGTTATTAAAAGGGAGCATCTTGCACCATGCCGTTAACATCTGTCAGTTTACCATTAGAGGGGCCCAGAAAGTCAGTTTTAAAGTGCATTTTTAACAACAAAGTTTGCATCAAGGGGCATTAGGCACCATGAAATTTACTTGGGTGTAAAAATATACATGAACTTTGTAAAAGGAAAAAAATAACAAAATTCTTCAACCTCCATAAACATCCAT